TATTCATTTTACAAAAGAAAAATCTTAGAAGCAAAATATATAAAACTGCCTTGTCTTTCAGTGTCATTTATCCTGCTACAATCTGCGCTCGTATGAAAAGCCATTTGTATGATACTGTCACCTTGCCATTCCTACTCCTGCTTCTTCTGCCACAATGGATTATACATAATGAGAAGGAAAAAATAATCAAAGATATGTCCAAAACAACAACAACAAAAATAAACAGGATCTCTAATGCCATAACACACCCTGCAGTGATCTGCGCCTCAGCTCCTGGCATTGTCACTGCAAGTCACCTGCCGACGCCCAGCCACTCGGTTTCCTTTAATCTGTGTTTTCGAACACATCTCTACAGGTGACTGCATCCACCTCGCGTGGCAGCTCAGCCCAGGACTCCTGACCAGCTCCCTGCCGCAGCAAGGGCAGCTTTGCTAACGTAAGGCAGGAGGGAAGCCTGCTTCAGTGGGCAGGAAAGGGGCTCCTGCCTCGCTGCACGTGAGGGCAACGGCACCCGCTGGCAGTCCGTCCTCGTGAGCCAACAAACTCACTAGCTTCCCTTGTTTTGCAAACAACTCTGGGCTGACCCTTATGGAAAACAGGGGTGTACCATTAAACTTAAGGAAAGAGTAAGAAAGAAACAAAGCAACCAACCCAACAAACAGGCCACGCACATCCTCTCTCTGGAATCCAGCCGGCTGATAGGACTAACGAACGCTGTACCTTCAGAAAACCCTGACACCTGAGCAGTGTTGGGTTACAGTCATTTCCATGCATGTGCACAGTGCCTCAGATTCCCCAGGGAGAGAAAGCAAAATGGTTAAAAATCTGTGGAAATCAAACTGGAGGCTGTAGGTGGGAGGGTGGGCAGATAGGGAAAATCTCTAAAGCCAACTTAAAACAACCCATAAACCATTAATATATTGAAACACCACATACTCATTGACAAGTAACTAGTGTAAAGGCTACACAGCATGTTCTTAACAGGATGGTGCTGAACATTGTCTCCACAGCAGGTGCTTGGCCATCCCAGAAAAGGAAGATTTTGCATACTTCAGAATGAGTTCAATTTTCAACAAAAAAAAAAGAGAAAAAAACAAAAAGAAAAGAGGGGGGGAAAACTAGGTTCTTCACTCCAGTAAGGGGCCTATTAACAGTCCGCTTCATTAGGAAAATAATGCAGGGTTCACAAAGGTCGTAAGCTGTAAACAGTATCACTGTCCACTTGCTGACAGCAGATTTGGCAAAGGGTTCTCTCTCTACATCTCGTGTCAGTTTGAGGGCCTGGAGAAGAAAAAGAAAAAGAAGAAAAGACAGTGAGATAACTGCATGTAGGGAAAAAAAAAAAAAAACAACAACAAAACCCACAACAAAAAAAGGCAACCAAGCAAACATCCAAAAAGAACAACAACTTACACTGAGAAGCAATTCAGATATGTTTGCACCCAGGAGCTTGAAACATATAGCAAGGAATAAGATGACCCTGCCTGAAAATACTTTTCCCTTGCCAAGGTTCATCTGTTTCTTTGATGGCTTAGCTGCTACCAAACAAGACAGAAAAAACCCTCTCTCCAATGAAAAATGATGGGCAAGTCTGATTTACAGAAACCCAGTGCACTGTCCATTTGTTAAGCGTATTTCCAGGTAGAAGCAATGAAGGATCATCCAGCTTTTCTCCATTTTTCATGATCACATTTTCTCAGCATTAGCAAAAAGCTGAATAAATCTTCTGTAAGTGTTTGACATCCACCACCACCCTTGAAGGACAGATGAAGAGGATGCTTAAGACAAACAGTAAGGAGCCATGAATTTCAGTGTGGACTTTGGGTTTTCCATTTTCCTGCTCACACAACACACCAGCAACAGACAGGGTCCAGCTGGCTTTAAAAACTGGTTTATATATCTTATTCTCTAGCCAAGAAACTTCTCTAAGGAGACAGAAGCACGGGGCAGATACCTTGGATACAGCATGGAGATGAGTATGAAGAAACATGGTAAATAGGTATAGCACTGAAAGCAGATGAACATTCCAACCAAGGGAGTCAAGGGGACAGAGTTTTAAAGGTACTCAGTGGCTTAGAGATACAGGCAGGCACCACATAGGGTTTTAGAAAGTATGTACATTTAAACATTCCCATGAAATCCTCTCACTCTTTTAGAAACTTCCCTTGGTAGACATCTGTGTTGCTGGGCATGTAGCTTCTGGCTTTGAAATGGCTTCTGAAAACAGTTCAAGAACAAGGGGACACTTGAAACAAAAAAGCCATTGAGTTGATTACAGGAATGTCTTTACTTTCAAAAGACCCTGCTAACAGGCACCCTCACAAAAAATTGTGGATTTAGTGGAACTTTAACCAGGATGGACATCTCCTGCAAGGAGGATCACTCAAACTGTCTCCTGTCTAAGGTGCCAGGCACTGATCCTATGATAACAATTTATTAAAATGACCTATTCTGATAATGCTAAATGATTGATGGAAATTTAATCATTTTGCCTCATGGTTATTAGAGCAACAGCGTGACAGCTGCTGCCTGTGCCATTAAGGGAGAACTTCATTCAGCACAGCTTAGGGAGCAGACAGATTGTGCCTTTCACCCAAACAAACTTTGGCTTTAACCTTAATTATGTGGAGGGGTTTGGGGTAGACTGTTTGGTGAATAAAGGGATTTCTGACTGGATCAACATATTGATTTCTTCATTTTCAAAGGGCAAATTAACGCTGGCCGTTCGTTAATGTGACTGTCTGCCAATGACTCCATTTGGTGTGCCCCGATGGCCGTAACAAGGTCAGCAGAAGATACCCAGACAGGCCTGGCAGCCCCCAGTAAAACCTGGCTAGTGGCTTGTAAGCAGCTCAAACAAGTGCAAGCCCATTTCTCTACTTCTTAAAGCCTGAGCACCAGAGGGGGCTGGAAATGAAGTACTTCCCCAAGGACAACATCCTCTGAAGGCAAGGCTCGCGTCCCACAGCCCAGCAAGTCAGCTCCCTCTCAGACAGCTGCCAGTTAATGTTGAGCATGAGCTTAACTGTGGAACTTATGAGAAGTCTTGCTGACTTTGAATAAAGCTATTTATTAAAAGAGTACAGAAATTCCCAATGAAGAACTGGAGTATTGCTTAATGTTTAAATCAAAATCTGTGTGAAGTATTATACTATGAAACCAAGTGATGAGAAAAAAATTGGAGATGGGATAAGTTGAGCATCTTTTGTGGAAGTGGCACTGCCAAATATTTTTTCTTGTGGGACTGTACTTCAGACAGTGCCAACATTTTGGAGACAGATGCACAGCTGAGGTGTGCATCACATAGCAGAACAAAACTATGTTCCATTTTCACAGCTCTGCTTACATGAACTTTGTAAATGGATTAAAAATGAAAACAGCAATATCAAAGTCTTATCCTGCCTGCCTTCAAATTACCCTGTTAAAGTTTTTAACAAATTCACACAGTCTTGCTTTCTGTCTCACCACAAAAAGCCTATTTACCCTGACTTAGCAGCCAGATACCCTACAGCGATGAAAACTGTATCAAGGCAGGGAAACAAGTGGTCCAGTTATATCTTCATTTATCACAGAATCACAGAATGGTCTGGGCTGGCAGGGACCTTATAGATTGTCTAGTCCAATCCCCCTGAAGTGAGCAAGAACATCTTCAACTAGATCACGTTGTTCAGAGCCCCATCCAACCTGGCTTGGAGCAGTTTCAGGGATGGGTCATCCACCACCTCACCAGGCAACCCGTTGTGTTGTTCTACCACCCTCATTGTAAAAAACATTTTCCTTTTATTTTATCTAAACCTACCCTCTTCTGGTTTAAAACCATTTCCCTTGTCCTATTGCAACAGGCCCTGCTAAAAAGCTTTGCAAACAGTCATGCAGGAGATGAGATGCCCCTTTCTTCTGTCCTATTCTCTGCCCCCCCATCCTCTACCTTGCTACTGACCATTTACAAACGTTACTCTCATTTTACTCCGTGGCCAAGCTGACTGGTTCTAGTTTCCCTCCAGCAAAAACGTTTCTTCACCGCTGTCTCACATCATTCCACCACTTAACTGGACTCCCAAGCCCCATGCCAGCTTCTGCACCATCAGAGCAGCTCTGAAGAATCATTTGCCACCTGTTACTTTCTCCCTTTGATTCCCAATGGTGCCAATTATGACACTGGACATTTCTTCAGAATAGAAAGGTGACGCAGCAATGCTCCCCAGAGCAGGGCATAGATAATGTGCCCTAGTTTATCAGTGAACCAACACAGCTCTAAAGTTTTCTGTTGGAAGAAAAGCTGTGTGCTCCTTTATACAATTATGATACAAGAATCTGCACTGCCAACACACAGCTCCTCTGTATGGCAGCCTAACATGGATCTCCTGATTTGGCGGGGAGGCTTGTTGAGTGGATCTCATCTTGCAAAATATCACCTTTTAGAGGTCTGTAAAACAAGCGTCCTCCCTGGGTACCACTTTGCAACAACTCTCCAAGGACAGGAATTCCCAGTTACTACTTTTACTGTCTAGACACTTGGGATGCAAACATTTTCAAGGAAACTTGTGTCCTTTAGTGACAGATGTGCATTTGTTCTGGTGCCTCTGCCCTTCAATTTGTCATTGCTTCCAGCAACTGAGCTTCTACTCCAAAGTGGGGGAGGCTCAAAAAACAAGACTTGATTATGTGTGGTTACAAGTTAATATTCTGCCTGAAGTTTCACAGCTGAAGACTGAAAAACACACAGAATTTGCTTAAAAACAAGTAAGAAAGGTAACTTCTGTAGCCAGTCTTTCTGTAATGACAAAATTACAGCACGAGGCTTATATTTCAAGCACAATAAAAATTGGAAATCCCAATGCCACGGCATGTATGCCACAGTGACAGCCTACAGGCTTCACAGACACTGCATGAGGATGCCACAGGATGGCCCCATGCTGAGGGACAACAGTGAGGTATGAGGACAAAGCCCAAGGACAAAAAAAAAGATGTGGCAACTTAATGTGGCTTTATTTCCTGAACTTTCAGGCATGTTGCCACTTTGCTTTTTCTCTTTAAATTCTCCTCATAAAAATAGATTTTTCCCAGCTCAGAACTGGGGGCAGAGAATAAGGGTTGAAGGATGTAAAGAGGAAGAATGCCAGCACTGAACTAGGACTTATGTGAGCTAAAATGTTGCAGTGCTTGTAGCTGCATAAGCATGAAGGCACGAAAGTGTCTCTTTTCCTTCTGTTGCTGTTCTTCTTCCAAGGAACACTGCAAAACCATAGGACAACCAAGTATTTTGGAAGTAAATGTAACTTAAGACAGCAGATCATTTTCTTATTCTGCGCTGGGAAAGAAGGCCAGAACTGTAGTGAGGTGCCACAACTATTTATAAGCAGGTTATTCTGATATCCCACTGCTCTACAGCACCATATAAAAGTCCAGGCTGGAAGGGACCAGCATCATCTGTCCAACTTTCTGTTCAAGGCAGGGCCTTGGGTAAGACTATTCAGAATCCTGTCATATATGGAGTATTTCCAGCACAGGAGAATCCACTGCTCCTCTGGGCAGTTCATTTTACCCACAAAGAGTAAAAGCCCCATTGTGGGACTTTACCACAAAGGGTAAAGTCCCATCTACCCATTTTACAGTTGAAAAGGAAACTCTGAGCCCAAGCACCGTTGATAGACAATTGCTGTTGAGACCATCACATCAGGCTGGGTTTAATCTTCTGCCCTGGCTAACACAGGAGAGCTTAGATCCAGGACAACTTCTCTCCATGAAGTCATCAGGTTTCTTATTTGACATCTTTTGGTCAATTTTGTCCCCTCTATTTTGCTCAGGAGCCCAAGGAGGGGGATGGAAATCCTGCCAGTTATGGGTGACACTGCCAATGACTGAGAGACATCAGCCCAGGTGTCCAACACAGCTCTCTAAAGGCAGGATGCTGCTGGACTAGATGAAGAAGGAAAAAAATACTTACAAAATACATCTTTTTTTAGGGGTAAATCCCATCAGTTGGAATAACTGTGCTTTCTTTAGGCACTCAGGAGCATCGGGAAGGAGATGTCTACAGTGGATCACAAAAAGGTGTGTACCTACTGCACCTGTGCATGACCAGAGAAGGATTTTGCTTGCATTTTTGAATTGGAAGAAAGGAGTCACATTTTAGAGTGAGAGGTACCTGCACGGCTAGAGACATCCTGAATTATGGGTTTATAGTGCTATGGAAACATGCTATGTACCCGTTATTCTGAATGTGCTCACAGACAGCTTCTTTTTCTTTGCTAGGTACCAAGCCTATTCTAAAAACATCTTCCCTGCTATGGAATCTTCTTGTTTTCCTCTGTGGTAAATTGAAAATGAGGCAAATACCATGTTGATAAAAGACAGGACATCTTCTATTATAACTTACAAATAGCAGAAAAGGCAAGAGAGGAAAGATCCTACCTCAAACCCAGATTTTATCTACATTTGTATGTAGATAAAAGCCAGGAGACTAGGCAGTGCAAGGGAAGAACAATGGACAAGACATTCCGCTCCACTGTAGAAGTGCATAAGCACAAGGCATTCTCCACAGCATCATCTGGGAAACGCGGCCTTTCTCCTGGAGTCATGGCAGACAGCCGTGGCTGCACAGCAGCTTCTGCCAGCCGAGCTGCATCCCCGTCCGATTCCTGCTCAGCAATGTCCCCTCTGCCAGACTCCATAACTGCCACCCTGTGCAGCAATCTGAGTGGAAAAGCTGATTAAACAGCCCTGGCAGACTGGACCAGAGTGGGGCACTCCCACCAGCCACCACAGGTACCTGATTTAACGGGGTCAGCGTCCCCACACACCACTCAGGGGACAGTGCTGATGGGAACATCCTGCTGGAGATGCTTCACCACTGGCGCCAGGAGCCCAGGGTGGCTCCTTCCTTCGTCCCCCTTCCCCATGCCAGGACAGAAAGGTTGGCTTTCGTACTGTGTATTGGCACACAGTACTACTCAAACATGCACTCCCACTGCCCACACTGTACCTGGGCTTTTTGGCTGGCATCAACAAAAGACTTAAACCTCTCCAGCTGTCAGTTCATCACCTGGGCTGAGTGCCCAATTGATATGAAAAAAAGATCCTGACCTTTCCTCAGCTGCATGACGCTATGTTTCTAAAAAGGAGCTCTTATTACGCACTTCTTCAAGAAAATATGCTTTCATGGGGGCTATTTAAAAGTCTGTCTCAAAGGAAGGAATGAACAAAGAAAAGCCACCTGTAACCAGCCCAGTTATCAGGCAAACCACATATTGAGGGCCCAACACTGATCTGCAGCTCTAAACAATCATTAAGGCTCATTCACATGAGACATAAGATTTGCGAAGACTCATTCTGTAACAAAACCTGGGCACTGCTGATCCAAGGAGGAAAGCACTGGGGAGACCAGTTGATGCGGGCTGTTCTAAAAATATCAGTTTGTGCTGTCATCTGTGAGAGTATGTCATCCTGTAATCTTAGCATCTACAGGGACAGCAAGTTTCTGCTTAATTATTGCTGCTGAATCACATGATAAATCATGAGGTTCTAAAAAATACATCTATATAAAACACCAACAGAAGAACACCCAAACCACAGGATAAGACCGCTGTCCTGGCTTCAGCTGCTTTACACTCACAACACAAGCCCGTGGAGCCAATCCTGGTTTTTACAGATCTTTTCCCTGCATTCATAAAACCCCAAACAATAAACCCAGATTGAAAACATACCAGAACAAAAAAGCCCTACTCCCAGAAGGAGTGAGCAATTCATTGTGTTTGTGTGTCAGCTCCTGCTGTCTTCACACAGCTCACAGCATCTCCGCCAGTCCAGGACTGGCCTCTGTATGCAAGGGGCTTTGATGAGCTTCAGTGGGACCTCATGGGGGGCAGTCCCAATGGGGTTTGCCCCAATGACCCCTCTCCTCCTCCCTAGCAGCCATGAGCACAGAGTTTCTTCCTGTGCCACTGATATGTTCCCCAGCCACTGAGGAGCCTGCTCAGGGTAGGCCCTCTTTGGAGTTGAAGGGATCCCTGTTCCCCACAAAATACATTTTCTACATAGATATTTTTGTTCAAAGACTAAACATGGCATGTGTGGAGTACAGCTAGTCACAAAACCACCTTTCAAAACTTGGGCTGGCAGAAACAACATTTAAATGTTACAAGTGCCACCACCTTAACCACTAGCCTACTAGAAGTGGAGCAGAAGAATGTGCTGCTCTTGAATTTCTTTTAAGTTTTTGAAGGCAGACAACCCCACCTTAGCTCTGTGTAAGAAACCTGGCAGCCCTATCCCTAAGAGCTCATTTTTGAAAATAAGAGAGCAGGAAGTGCAGCTATGGTTCTAAGGTAGTCACTTGTCATCAGGTAAGAGGTCCAGCAATTCAGCTTTCATGGGCAGAAGTTTTCTGGCAGGAAACAAAAATCATCTTCTTTGTGACAAACTATGCAGAACTCTCTGATTCAAAACTTCATCCAAATAGAGATCTTCAACTACCTGTTTTTGCTTTTAGGATGGTGTTGTAAACATGAAGTCACCCTCAGACCAATTTGTCTTAGGTATGAATTGTACACAGAAACAGGCTGAACACCAATTAACAAACTGGCAAGTATTCCAAGCTGATACGGGCTAATGAAGGACTAACAGACATTTTGTTAGGTTTCCTAAGATTTTTTTTCACCAGAGATGTTAATCATCAAGTGTGACATTGCTATTTACAGCTTGTGTATTCTGCAATAAGATGTGGGACCTAGATGATACTAGTGGAAAATGAGTGACTTTAACTCATCTGTCAAGTATTTTATATGTAATTTTTGAATAAGTCAATGTGAGTCCAGCACAGCTCTGTTACAGAGCCCAGAGGCACCCACATAAATGACACATTGAAATCTCTTTCAGAAGATGCAGCTTAGATGAGTTTTTCAGACTATGACACCAACTCAAGAAGTTCTTGCCCTGCCCATGCTGTCAGGGTTGGGCTGTCCATGCCCAACCCTGACAGCACTGCTGCCATTGTAAACTGGATCACTGAAACAATCCAGATAAAAGCAACTTCTTGGATGAGTTTTGGTGCTGGAGAAAATGTTTGCACATGCAGCAACTGCTCACCAGCTCCTGCCCTTCCAGGCAGCATGTCCTGAATAGTCTTTCCTGATGCTCTCTTTTGGGATTACGCTTTGGCAAAAGCCAAGTCCCTTTGAACTTGCCAGGTGAGACAGACCCCGGAGCAAAGTGCAGAGTTGTGGGAATCCCAGACTAAGAGAAGGACCCATTAATTTCAAAATAAAAGGTATTCTAGAGACAGATGAGGGAATAGTGATGTCTATTTATTGCTAAACCTGCTGAAATACCAAGGTGATGATTATCTGAGTGGGTGGAGGACATTATCCAGTGCTTTTGGAAAGCAGGTAGAGGGAGAGGAACAGAGGCCCCAGGCAGTATAAGTGGAAAAAATTATGGCTGAGTGAATAAAGCAAGAAAAAAAATTGATTTTCTCTATTCCTTCTTGTAAGAGAAAAATAACCAAACCAAACCCAAATTCATCTATATGGCTCAATGAGGGCCCTCTGAAAGGTTGGGCCTGGGCAGCCTCATGGGCACACGTTGATGGAGATTGAGCAGGGCTCTTTGCAAGGACCAGGCACAGGCTTGCGTGCAGCAAACGTGCACAGCCACTAAACCTGCAACAGTGGCATCTCATGCAGGGTTTTTTAATTTCCCTATGAAGAAACTGGAGTTGATTTTTTTCCAAAGTAAACCTCCTTCTATACCTAAGTATGTATAAATTAAATATCTGTGTATTTGCCTTCTTTCTTTTCTTCCTGAAAACTGACTCCAATGTTTCTCTTATTTTTAATAGAAAACACAGCAGTCACTAGGTATGCCAATAATCTACTGTAACTGCTTTTGCCTGCCTGCAAAACACACCTGGCTACCCTAGTGAAATGGATTTAGCATAAGCAATTGCCAGGCTGCTCTGCCGAAAGTGTTCTCCAGTCTTTGGGCTTGTAAGGATTCATTACTGGGGTCATGAACATTGCTGAGAGAAGATTTTAATTCAGCGATCTCTACTGCTGCAGTGGAGAGTAACCAAGAAAAGCAATTCAGAATGATTGCATCTGATGTCATGCGAGAAGCCCCTATCAAAACACAAGATGCTCTCAGGGAGGCAGACTCTCAAACAGCGCTGCTTAACAGATGAGGAAGAGTGCGTGATGAACCAGCTCAGCAGAAATCATCTGTGCTTGCACCTGATACCAGAGGCACCCCACAGCAGCTGGTCCACTTGTCAGGGAGAGGGAGAGAGGCTTCCACAGACGACTGGACAGTAATCCACTGAGGAGAGCTGTCTCGTTAATAAATCTGTCCTCTGCAATGAGACTCCGCTCACACAGATGTGTCAGTTCCTTTATTCAGAGGGAGCAGCCTGAAAAAGATCATGGCAGCTATGCTTTCCATAGATGCCAGAGGCTGGGGTGAAGAAGCAGCAGGGAGCATCAGCGAGGAGGTGGGGTGTTGTGTCTCCTCCACACTGCCCATGCAAGTCCCCCATGGTGGCTGCTATGGCTGCTACCTACACACAGCACGTGAAGCTATGGAAGCAAGAGGCTGCCCTATTTGCCTGTGTCAAGCAAGACCATCAATAACACCTACTTTTCAGGACCCATTTGACAGATTGTACTTTTGGATGTTGCACAGCAATAAAGTCCCTACAGCTGGTTTTTTTACATCGTGCAAAGAAGGTTTTTAAATCCAAGCAGCTCATGCACCTGAAGGGAGAACTGTTCAGCAAGCATGACCTGCTACAAACTTTTGCTTCCTCAACCTTGAATCAATTCTGTTTTTCCCCTCTTTCTTTTCCTAAATTCTCCCGTACCAGAACTGAAGAAACCCCAAAATTCATCTGTGGCCCTGGTATTGCCAAGTTGCTGCCTTGCTCAGGGTCCTTGGGACACAGCGTCCTCTACAGCCCTTCTCCACAGCCCATTTCCTGGCTGTGCACTGCAATGCTCTTGCTAAGAGACAGAAGATGTGCAAGAACCAGAGGAAATCCTTGCACTGACAAAGAAAGGACTGTGCACACCAAGAACTCCATCAGAGCAGGGCAGCTTTGCAGATTGACTGAAAGGAGGCTGCCTGGGCAGTCTTGTTCTCCCTCACAGACAGCAGACCACAGCACATCTCCTGAGGTGCTCCCTACACACAGGAAACAGAACGACATTCTCCAGGTTCACCCCTGCTGCTCACCTACCACAAAGCTTCCCCTTGAACATTTAACTGTGAAATAGTGAACGAAAACTTAATTAAAGATGAAAGGGGTAAATTATGCACTGTAAAGTCAAAGGACACTGACTCCTTTCTGTCCATCACTTGGAAAATAAGAAAGCTTGAAGTAAGCTGTAAACTGCATGAATGCCTCATTTAACCTCACTACTGAGATGCTCTACATACTATTCTGAAGTTAATAGTACACTTTCAATAATTTATAGCTAACCTTTTATCCTACTACATTTTGAAATTTACTCCCTTATACTAATAAATAAACAAAGGAGAAAGGGCACTTTGTGTGGCACCTGCCCTATGAGTCAGGGAATATGTATGTGTGAGCAGGCAGAGGTATGGGCAGGATCCTGAAGAATCACAAAAGAATGACAGAAACAATGATTACAAGTCCCCAGCTGTGGAAAAAAAGCAATGGGAAAAAACATATCAATCTGGAAAAAAATTAATCTGAAGAAGTTAACATTTAAAAAACACCTATGTCAACCCCCAAATCTCCAGATATTCTCTTGGAGGAATTCAAAAGAAAAAGATACCTACCCCATTCAGAGCGGGGAGAGGAGGAAAACAGTTATTGCATACTTAAACCAGTAAGTAGACCAGGACATTCCTGAGACCATGATCCCACCAATATATAATTTGATACCTTTTTTTTGGCCAAGAAATACAATTTTACAAAAAAGCAACCCTAACAACTTTGCTAGTGTTGCTATGCCACAGCAGATCAGCAGAATCAGCATAATTCCTATTCTGCCCAGATCTGTCCCACACACCTGATCCCAAGTGAGTGCTCTGATCTTGCAAAGACACGCTTCCTCCTCCCCCACAGCAACACTGCTCCACTGACTGCAGAGTCCCTCGCCCCATCCCTGTGTAACACAGCTTGGCTACATGTGGCTTCAGTTGCAAGAGGGAATCCATCTGTTGTGACTTCAAAGAAGACGAGCTAGAGCTCTGTGATTCCTAAAAACCACAAATATTCCACCTTGGTTTGCCTGATTTGTGATTAACATTTCTCATGCCTAAATTAAGAAGGGCGCTGAACACCAGATGCGTGATCAACAGTGTTGCAGTCAAGCAGCTTTTATAGCTTAGCCTCGTTTCCCTCCACACCTCCACGTTTCTTGGTTGTGCCTGTTGCATACCAACACACAGCAAGCCATCAGAAGCCAAATTACTATTATTAGTGTGCACTAACTATTAAGGGTTCGGTGCAAACTCCAATAAAACTAAGGAACCAATCATTTTACCACATCACGGGCACTGACCTGTTTGCCCGTTTTCCCTGTTCTCAAAGATCCTTCAGCCTGGTACCCAACTCTGTGATGAAGCCTGTTTAGCACCAGTGAAGTTCCCCACATTCAGACTGACAACGTTCTGAGCTGAGATGAGGGAATCAAAGTTAAAATCCAGCCCATCGGCATCCATGAGTTCACTGCGGATAATGGACTCCATGTCACACTCCAGGCTGCCATTGAAAATATCCAGGTCCAAGTCACTCGGGAATTTCTCATGTCCCATGACCGGGAGGTTCACGCTAGAGGAGTACAAAGAGGAGCCTGACAGCGGGTCAGAAAGTGTTTGCATAGACTGATTGACAGATGACTGCTGATGTTTGCTGGATCCCAAGCTGCTGGAGTCACTCAAGCCTATGTTACTGATGGAATTGGACAAGGCACGGCTGCCACTAAGAGAGGAGTTGTGGGACTGGTGCTGGTGATGGGACAGGTTCTGATTGACCAGACCGCCCTGGCTGGACTGTGCGGCAAACGACATCATGGGGTCGTTGCGGAGCATTATATTCCTGCGGGAATTCTGGGCGGACACAGCCGTGCTGGCTTGTGACATGAGTGGGTCAGACTGTGTCATCATGACATCGCTGTGACTAAGCGCATCAGAGGTGAGGAGATCCTGCAGCGTCTGGTTGTTGTAATGAGAAATGGAAGAGAAGGTGGCCTGCTTGTTCTCCTGAATTGTCTGCATGGGTGACTGGCGGAGGGAATTCAGGGACGACGGCCCAAACACAGCATTGTTGAAACTACTTGATGGGGAGCCCAGCCCTGAACCTTTGGAACCATAAGGAAAACTGGAGCTTCTCTGCATTATCCCTCCTGTGGGTGACTGCTGGGAGGGAGGGAGTGTTATATTGTCCAAGAGATCATCCATGAGGTTATCAGTCAGTCCATCATTCAAGTTCATTGTCCCAGCCATATCAGTCAACCTAGGCAACTCCACAGTACATGGTTTGTTTACCGATGGGGACAAGCTCGATGGACTACTGTACAGCATGGGAGAAAGTGGAGCATCATCATCTTGAACATCATCGAGCTCGGTGCTTGCCAAAATTGGTGACAAGCGGCCACTGATCGTACTGGCATTTGAATTTGTACGGGAGCGAAAATCTGTCCATGCATCCAGCTCATCGCTGCTGCGGGAGGTGGGACTCCCTGGCCACTTGGAGAGCTGGGTAGGGCTGTCCTCACTCGTCTCCTGGGCTGTCTGCAGGGCTGCCTTTTTCTTTGCTGCCCTCCCTCTGCTCTTGGTGTACTTGTTGCTGTTGTCCATTGACACAGCGCGTCGCCGGGGCGCCTTGCCGCCTTTTCCACCATCTGGATTGATCATCCACCAAGAGCTTTTCCCGGTGCCTTCATTCTGCACCCTGACAAATCGGCTATGGAGTGACAAGTTGTGCCGGATCGAATTCTGCAGGAAAAGAAGAAAATAAAGCATCAAGACTGGCACCCCACTTCTTTTACAAGCCAAATCTCAATCATTAAACCAACATCCCACGATAACAGCAACATGAATAAAATCACTGGACCCTCCTGGACATCTCCATGAATTTCTCTGGTGCTGGATATGGGAGAACTGGAGTGTGACTGTGGCAAGGCAGCGTCCTGCTGTAAAGCAAGCCCCAAGCTTGCACGAGTTGTGCATTCCTTGTGCCCATCTCCACATCCCTAAAAGCTTCATCCTAAGAAAAGGAGAATGACATTCCTGCTAGAAAGGAGCCAGATGTTTCTCCCTTACTTTTTACTCAGGACTAACTATTACTATCAGTAATCTTGCCATCAGTTCCTTGAAATAAAAACTGCAAAGGCACAGCAAAAATCTAGCTGGAGGGATAGTCACACTCATTGTAGCCTCTGCAAATGTCTTTTTAATTCTTCATGGGCACGTGTGCTGTATATTTGTTATAATAGTTCCTGAGAAAACTGCAAGTGCTGTTGCTCCTCTCCCACAGGCACGCTGTGCATGACTAAGCTGTACTTTCTCTCTTGATTAGAGGCACCAGAATTACGCCCATACGGCAGTAGCTGGCCAGCTGTCCCCTCACCATAGTATCCGCACAGTCTTCAAAACATGATGTGACACGGTATGCAACGATATCCCTGTCCCTGTAAGCTGCTGGATACAGAGCTGTATGAAGCTGCTGTACACAGCCGGATACTCTGTGCTGTACAGGATGCTATGGAGTACAGGGCTCTCAGGGGAGCCTGCACAGCTTGCTCTTGCACCCTACCTGCTCGCACTAGTCAGCAGCATCGAACTGCCCAAACACCATGTTGGCTCAAACCAATGATAACCACCTCAGAATCAGCAAGAGCCTAAGAAAACCAGCCCATGGTACCCCCAGAGAAACGGCACCAGATTTAAACCAAAATAACAGAGATGAAAATCTCACTCCACTCATCCTGCTGATCTTGTGCTTAAAATATGGATCAAAGAAAGGAAAAGCAAATAGTATTTGTTAGTGTGAATGCTTCCAGGTTTGGTAAACCAACATTTTTTTCCCCTGTGGAAATCAAATGATTTTTGGAGCTATCCCATATTCCTTTGAGAAACCCCTTGGGCTATTCCTCTAAGCTTAAAGAGTGCAGAGTTCTTTTTTTTAAATGTTGGCAATTACCAGGTGTATCTATGAAAAGGATAAAATCACATTTGTCCTATCAACATCTTTTAAAAACACACAGTCAGCAAGACCATAACACAATTCAGAACAAGTGCCCTTCATTTACAAAAAGCTGAAGAAACTCCAGATTTAAATAGGCCAAGAATGAATCAATCAACAAATCATTCACCAGCACCTCGATATTCGCATCCTTAAGAAACATGAATGCTTGACATAAATAAACTTGAGATACATACAAAGTACAGTCCATCTTTTTTTTAAACCATTCTTTTCGGTATAAAATGCCCTTCTTTTCCCACTGCTTTGTGGCCTTTGTCAGATTGTGAAATGGAAAACATGCCTGAAGTTCTCGCACGCAGACAGCAGACGTGGTTGTGATTATCACTTAATGAAAAGAGAAATCATATGGACTGCACTTCAAAACAGCAACTGTTATGTTTTAAACAATTTACACAAAGCAACTGATCAGACTTTGCTGACATGCCCAAGAGAAGTTTGGGTTGGTGCCTCAGTTATAAACATGTCCATTTCTGAGGGACTATCATGCCATCAAAATACGGTGGATTGAGTTGCACCACAATAATTATTCAGTCTAAGGAGGGAAAAAGCTTTTTATTGTTTAACTGATGGCATTTTAATAACATTTTGAGTGTGGCAACAGTCTAACTTCTAAAAACTAGCTACCATTCCTTACTTTCTCAGGTTTCTCCCTGTAAAACTGGCTGGAGAACCAATGTTTTTTTTTAAAAATAGCCTTTCTTGATATTCCAGCTTCTACTGCATCTCTGCAGGTAGCTCTCATCCTCGGTCCCTGTAATTTCTATGGACAACCACTTGTGAGAACATCTGCATGGGGATTTCTCCATTCAAAGTCCACACCAGTCTTCAAAAGCCATACAAACCATGCTGTTCCCCACCTAAAAATGCTGTGTATAAGAACACACAGCATCATGACTCTTGCTAATGAAAAATAAATCTTAAGAGAGGAGAAACACCTGAGGTGGCACATGTAGCATGCCATGCACACCTTCAGATATAAAAACACTCAGCCAAAGTGCCAGCAGCTAACAGCTTTCAGCCTAATGTATTCTCATAAAAGGGCTTATTTCTGCTGCTGGTATCCGTAGTATGAAAGTATTTGGCCTAAAACCATGAAAAATCCTAAATAGTAAAACTGTGAGACTGAGGCACCTTTCAGGATGAGGACTCCTTCATGTGTGGATATGTATGTGCACATGTGTAATTTTCTTCTTATTATATATTTTTTCTCAGTGTCGGTTTTACACAAATAATAAAAGAATGAAATAATCCTTCTGCATTGAAAATTGGTAGTTATAAAAAATCCAAGCAGTTTGTTTTCCTTTACATTAAACACTATGCCACTTACAATCCTGCTTCTGTTTCTCTTTGCTTTTCTTCTGCAGGAAGATTTTCTTAAGCATAACTGTGGGCTAATTTATTTTTGTGTACCCCATCTCCACCCTCTGTTCAAACACTGCCTTAAAACCCACTTCTTTCACGTAACCTCCCCCACTAACCTCTTCAGCAACAGTATCTGAGCTTTTTGGTTTCTCCTCCTGTTGGGTGCCCTGCCAAATCAAATTAAGGCTGGATCCTATTATCCTTTCTCATGCAAGTTTTGCTGCGGAAGCCACCAGGATTGACAACTCACATCAGTAAAAGCTGTTGCACTGTGCTACCAGGTGGCAATCTGGATGGAAATAACTGTATTTTCTACCTGTTTTCTGAGCTGTCAAAAAATATTCCCATCTGCTTAAAAGACAGGAAAGTATATGGGGACAATCACTGCTCACAGCTACGTGCATTACTAATATATGACCATGCAACAAACCACAAAGGAGGTGGGGAAGCAAAGAAAATACAGTTTATCATTTGAACCCACTGCTGATGAAATTAATGGGGATTTGTCTTTGACTTATGTGGGAGATGAATTAGGCCATGATGATGGAAATTTAACACATTTTTCCATGCCAAAATGCAATGAGAAACTTTAAAAGATCCATAAAGGAACTTCCATCATCTGTCCTGGAGACCATATGTAGATGGGAGAGACGCTAGCCAGGCTGCAGACAGCTCGGATACCACCGATGTGTACAACATATGGACTGTACTTGAGCAGAGCAAAAAAAGAAATATGATGAGCTCCTCCCTTTATTAGTGTTACTATTTATATTGGATTTGAAGAATGTCATGCGCTCCACTGAACACCAGAAGACTGAGGTTCCTGCAGATAACACCTAGAGCATCATGTACTGCCCTAAGGCCAGACCAGCTGGGTTGAAGTCCCCTTTGAAAGTGGTCCTGCAGGAAGAGAGACTATCCCTGGAGACAAGGAAGACTCAGGGCAGAGGAACACATGAGACTGGGCAAAACTGGCGTGAGCAGACGATGGTGCAGTGCCACAGGCAAGCAGTGCTGCTGTTCTCCCTTGGCACCAGGAGAAAGGGTGAGCTGGGTGCTCGGAACAGCCAGGGCAGCAATACCAGGGCTTATACCCCTTTCCTCAAACTCAGGGACATGCTCTCAACTTCAACAAATGTTGATCCACTGCACCACATTTTATTCAGTTAATACTCCTCAAGGGTTCCAGCTACATTTTGCGCTCAAGAAAATCCCCCGAGATCAGCTAGCATGTCCTAATTACACGAGTCTCTCTCAATATTTTGAAAAGACTGCAAACAGGCAAGCTGACAGAGAGGACACTCCAACATTTCCAAAGTGCCCCATTCCTAATCTGATACAAACAACTGAATGAGTCTCCCAAGGAAGCAGGGACTGCATGTTATTTCAACACTCAGACCTGGTCAGACAACAGCAGCAAATGCTTGAGCTTTTAAAATGGAGAAAATTCGCCTTCCCTGTGCCCATTTCAGCTTCTTCCAAGTAGTGTTTACCTTGTGGAGCCTATCCACTAACTCAGACACCAGCTGCAAGTGCTTCCACTGCAGTACAGAGTCTTTTTTGTCTGGAAGCAACATGTGGTATCAATTTATCATCCTCGACAACGCAACAAGGAATCCACTTGCTTTAAAAATAAAATGAGAGTTGTGTAACTTAACTCTTAAAAGTCCTTTTTTTTTTTTTTTTTTAAAGCCTGAAGATTAGCAAGATGAGGAGCAGCTGGTGGCTGGTCTGTTTTTCTTTCAGTGTTTTGTAGTGAGTAGCAAATTTGGAATTTCAGATATGGGCTCCTAAACTCTAAAGTTAGAGCTAAATATCAAAAGCAGTAGTTTAACAAATGGGATATTAAGACATGGTGGGAGAAAAACAAACACTAGCTGTAGACCCATAAATTCTGCTAATGCTCACTTGGGAGAATTACACATTATTTTATCCTGTATTAACATATATAATGTTTTTATTCCACCATATGAAGTTGTATGGTAGCCATGCAGCAGAGAAAGGCATCAGATCTAACACCACTGAAAAGAAGCCATGAAAATAACTCCATCTTATCAGCCTCCAGCTGAACAGAGGGAGTCCAGCTTCTCCATGGCTCTGCTTGCTCACTTGAATTTCAGTTTTCAGCTTATGTCATCTTGCTCAAAATGTTGTCATACAGATCTCATTTGGGATGAACACCCCTAGAGACAGCTTCCACCAAAAATTATTTTCTTTAAGAAAACCCTACTTTTTTTGCATTCAGTGGCTGATGAAACTGGAGTCTGTTAATAATTCAACACATTTTGCCCAACTGTCCAGACCAGTGTCTGTGCCTTCTCATGAAGTAACTCAAAACTTGCTTCAACTACCAGTTTTCACAGAATCACAGAATATGTTGGGACACATCAGAATCATCAAGTCCAACACCCAGCCCTGCTCAGGACACCCCAAGAGTCATACCATGTGTCTGAGAGCATTTTCCAAGCTCAGACAAATGATGCTGTGACCACTTATCTGGGGAGCCCAACCACCCTTAGGGTGAAAAACCTCTTCCTGATATCCAACCTAACCCTCCCCTGGCACAGCATCATGCCATTCTCTTGGGTCCTGCCACTGGTCACCACTAAGAAGAGCTCAGTGTCTGCCCCTCCTCTCATGAAGAAGTTGCAGACTGCAGTGAGGTCTCCCCTCAGTCTTTTTTTTCTCCAGGCTGAACAGACCAAGTGACCTCAAATGCTCCTCATAGAGCTTCCCCTCAATGCCCTTCCCCGCCCTTGTGGCCCTCTTTTGGACACTCTCTAATAATTGCTCAATGTCTTTTTTTATACTGTGGTTCCCAAAACTACACATAAGACTAAAGGGGATGCTGCATCAGTGCAGAGCAGAGTGGGACAACCACATTTATATTTCACATATTTTACATTTTGTTTGCTTTAAAGTCCCCAAGGAGATTCAGTTGCAAGTAAACAAGAAAACAGATGCAGTGTCTAAAGTTGCCAATTGTGTGCATGTACATAGGAATTTCTGGTGAAAGGGATTTGCAAGTCTAGGGAAGCTGATTTTTAGGAAGTACCAATTTATTGGTTCCATACAGTCCCTTGTTACTTGGCTGCATAAGGCTGCAGTGCTACTCTTCTCAAAGAACTCTGAAATCCCAACGTGGTCTCAGAATTTACTCCTCTTTCCCATGAGTTTTTGCAAACCAGAAGAATGTATATAGTTTAATAAAGTAGTGAGGGTGCTCTGCAGATACAGAAAAATCAAGAACTAAAACATAAAGAGAAGTCTCCGACAATATCTACCTAGCCATGTTCTGATACACCCCTACCAAGCACACCCTCCTTCAGGAAAATGGAAAAAAAAATCCCACAGATTTAAGAAAGTCAGCTCCACATCTGAAGGGTGGCTCTGTGTTTTCCCCTCCTCCTCCTGTCTTCAAAGGAGTTTTCTGAGCTTGGTGGTAAGGGAAGAACACCAGAAGAGGCTTCCACTGTGATCACCTCTGCCTGCACCTCTGCCCATCATTCTGCACCCCAGAAGAAAAGAGCCTTGAGGGATTTAAGCTGCTTGGGAGAACAGTAAGTCCAAAAAAGGTTTATCCCCTGAAATGTGTAGGCTTGGATAGGAGAGCAGTACACGGACCTGCCTCCGCGTCCCGCACACGGGGCACCGCGCCGTGCCAAATTCCAACAGGAGAAAGTGATTAGCACAGGGGAAACAAACCCTCCCCAACACGCACACCACGCTCCTCCAGCTGCGCTGGCCACGAGGGCAGGCAGCAAGAGACCTGCCTACTAACAGGGTTTGTGCCCTGCTCTTTCAAAAGGAAAGTATCACAAAGCATGGACCTATGGGAATTGAGTCATGACTTGAAAGTTTTTCCTTAAAAAAAAAAAAAGTAAGAAAAGTTTAAAAAATTAATTCTAGTTAAAACAACCACTGCCTCTCGCTCTTTGCAAACAGTGATATTGCAAATTGCTATGCTGACGTAAATAAAACTTAGCTGAAAATATACACTGCCTGGAAATTGCCTCAGAGCACCATGCTTCCAGTTAGCAGAAAAATCTCCAGTTATTTTACAGTAAGACATGCTCTGACCACATGAGGACTCTAATAAATAACATTTGTTTTCTGTGAGTAGAGCATGCTGGTTGTCATTTACAATGGGTGTTGGGAGATGGGAAGCAGAGAGCAAGGAAAATGCTGATACTTTAATGCAGCTGCAGAACAGGAAGGTCAGGCTCTCCAGCAACCCCCCATCCCAACCAGTGTCAGAAGCCAGGTACCTCAGCACCCTTTGCTATAGGAAGTCCCCTAAAACATAAAGTGTTATCCTCTGCATGCTATGGCAATGCTTTTCCACATTAGAATCGGATTTGGGAATCAGAAGGCAGGCACTGCCACTGAGGTTGCTAGGGCACCTTGTCAAAAGGCACCTTTTTCAGTCCCTTCCACACACTTTATATTGTGGCTGCCCAAAATTCAAAACCACTGTTGATTTAAATAAAAGGATTTAAGTTAATTAAGAACAAGAATTTACTGTGAGGCATTGCTCTTTTAAGCTGAAATCCCAAGGCAATTCATCACAGGCTCAACTGGGACATGAACAGAGTCAGCAAGAAAATGGGAGGTGTTGCCCCTCATTGAACTTAAACCCGAGGAGTTGCATACAAAACGGCTGCAATGGACACATAGGGCTGGGTCTTTGCAGAGCCAGAGTAAAACAGTTGTAATTTCTGTTCAGGAGTGACCAGCAGATAACATCTTTCTTTTCTCCTACTGTTTCTCAATGGAAAGCCCCAGCATTTCAAGTGTTGCTACTGTAGAAACTTTGGCAATAACACCATGCTTTATTTGTGGAGCTCCTTCAGCACAGCATTGCTGCATTTCTCCTCCATGCCACAGAGCCCCTGGAGAAGTGCAGGCACACACAAGTAATCAACCTGAACATGTACGTAACAGTAGCACCCACAAAAACAGCTACTATTGTCAGCACAGCCCCAATCCACCAGCAGTTGAAGCTACTGGAAGAGTTCTCCCAAACCTCAGTGGTCATCCAGTTCAACCTTAATGAAAACAATGCAATTTTACTGCAAGGCAGACTTTCACCATTAAGGCTTTGGGTTCGTATTGCTAGAAAGAAGATCTAGGGGGAAAAAAGGCCTCTGTTTTTAATTTCTTAGATACAAAGATTCCAGCACAACTCTCACGCAGCATTGTGGAAGCCAGAGTGCTCAATTCTATTTTTACTCATTCTCAGCATATGGCTGTTACTATACATTGACTATTTAGAAACACGTATGGGCGTTCTTTCATGCCTTTATAAATAAATGTGAGTGATGCTACTGCTTATAATAATTCAGTAAAAATAGTAGCTTCCTTGGAAGATCACAAAAGCCTCTCACTGCTGAATCACCTATTATAAATCTTCATATTTTGAAATCTTTTGCAGTCACGGGTTGATTTTTTTAACACTTTCTATGAAATGCAACTAAACCAGCAACAACTCCCACCACACAGTGACAGGGGAAGAATAAAATCTATGTGCCTGGAGACAGCATTCCAGGGCTCCTGGAAGCCAAGCTCAAGGCTGCCCTGCACATGGCTCTGCAAAGTGCTAGCTCTGAAATGATAGATTGTTAAACACCCGGCCTGGATTAATTGGAAGTGTTGAGCTGCACACACTAAATTGTGAATCTGGTGACAGTTACAGCAAACATGCGACTGATGAGAGGAATAGATCTGGTACACTGTCGCCTGACTGAGTTTGATCAGGCCTGAGCAAGCCCTTCAGAAGCCAGCACAGGCACCTGAGACCTTCTCATGAGAAAGCCCACAAGCAACCTCCAAACCAGCCCCCAGCATTTCTGCTCTGTTAACTAATCTGAAACAGGACCCCTCTCCTGTGCTATTTTAAGCACATAATTACTTTATTATTGAACCAGAAGATACTATCTGATTTTTTTTTTTTTAAATAACAGTGTTTTAAAATATGATTTGCTTCAGCTGGCAGCTGAGGTGGCAAAAGGAATGGTGCTGCTCCACAGACATGAGCTCTGGGGGAAGCTAGGGATGACCTAAGCATGGCTCTCAGTGGGTCTGACCCACTGACTTTTACAGGCAAAAATCCCTTGGGAGCCTCACAAAGGGCAGCTGGTGTGGAAACATGCAGCTGTGACTCCAGATATCCACCAAGTTACTGCAGCACTGCTGTGGACAGGGTGGGAATTAGGAGACAAGGGATAAGTGAACAGAACAACTTGAAAAACAGGTATCTCCTTCACGACTCCGGACTGGATGGCCACCAGTAAATACCTGAGCACTCTTCAAAACGTAATGGCAGCTGTAAAATATTAATGCCCTTTGAGAGTAGAAAGTGATCGGTTTTCCTTCTGATGCATTCTGATGTGCGTTCTGCTTTCGTCCTGAGAATAACACATGGGTCCTCCCCAGCTTCTTGGTTACACAGATTCCTGTATTTTCCCTCTACATTGGGGAACATATTTTAAGCACTGCACTTAGAATTATATTTGAAGAATCCTACAGATTTGCTTTCCACATACATGAACACAGCTCATGCTGTGCCAGGTGACATGGGTGGACAAAAATACCTATCTCCACACCATTTTTACAAGAAGAGTAGCAAGGTGGGTTTACTCCAGCAGTCTTTCCACAGCCCATTCTTTTATCTGACTTCCACTGATACATTGCATCAGGGCACTCAGTCTCAAAACCAGGTCTGCCCAGAAACTCACCACCAAGGCTCATGGCGTTAGTTTCCATGCTGCGATGCCCTGGAGGTAATCTCCAAGTTGATAGCAGTTGATTATTTCTCCCCTCCCTATGGAAAAAGCTTTTCTGCAGACTTAAAATCTGGGCAGATCCAGGTCAGACCTGAGCTAGTGACACCAGCCACCCTTGGGAGTCCTGGGGAGAAATGGGCACCTCCACTGAACAGGCACACCAGCCTGTCTTCCTGCTCTCATCTGAGAGCGCCTGACCCTCTCCGCTGGTAGGGGTAGATCTCATCCTCTGGCAGGTTTTGGGATGGTGACTCCCAGTGCCTCCCAGGGCATGGCAGCTTCAGAGAGCTCCTCTGCACTCAAACCAAACTCTACAGTTCTGCATTCATCCCAGCCTCACCTAACCCCACTTATGAACTGTTTTAGTTTTCACTGAACCTCACCTCACTCAGATGACGTGCATGTTACTGGTTCTACAGGATTTTTAAAATATATTTTCTGTTTACTGCAGGGGCAAAATATACCCGAGGAGCTGACAAAAGGGAACATGACACCTATTACAATGCCAATGAATCAGCCCTTTGCTACAGCAAGCAGGACATTCCTGTTTCACACGTAACCGGCAGCAGCACCATCCCAGAAACCCCACAATCCAGGTAAATGCACAAGTATGAAAATATTTTTTTAAGCTGCTTACCTAATTTGAGAAAATAAGACCACCATCATCAATACAATCATAATCCCATGTGCTGAATGTTGAGCCTAAAGCTAGACGGTGTCAAAATGCTTCAGCACTCGATGCTTTGTTCAAGCCCCACCCCAACACCAGAGCCTGAATAGCAGAATGATGAGTGGAGGAGCCTTTTCATGTTCTGGATTTCAACCTGCACACATGAGTAATCTCGCCTGAGGCCAACACTTGGGCCACAATGGGGTCCTTCTTTTGCTCCATACCTGCCTTTTTCAGAGGCAGCTGAGGAGCCACAGAGTTCTAGGACCTTGACTGTGTCAACAGAAAAAGTCCTCACCAGGTAATTGACAATTATTATTTACACTGTAGGATGAAGTCTGGTTGAGCTCCAAGTGTGGGAAAGACTGCGCCAGTGGAAGACACTTGCATCTGAAAGTTTACAGCATCGACATGCAGACAAAGAAGCACTAACTCCATAAAGATTCTACAGAAAATAAAATACTCATTTTGCTTTCATTTGCTTGTACAAACCAGCCTTGTCCTCCCTGCCCTTTGGGATAGGCCTTGAGCCAACTTCAGACACCATCTTATACTCTGGAAAATTCAAAGTTCTGACTTGCTGAATCAAAATATATGCATTTTGGGATTGCAATAGCTGTATTGACTCTGAGATGGTCCTACAGTTCCTCCAGATGTATTCCCTCACAGATAACGTTCTGCTTCTTAGAGAAACTATCCTGGATCTCACATGGATTGGGTGGACACAGGCCACATCTGGTTTTTAGGGGAAAACTGATGAGTTTTATTAGTGGAACTACACTGCTTGAAGTAAGCTTTTTTTCAACACCTACATGTTCAAGACACAGGGCAAATTTTAAAGGACAATGCAAAGAATGATGATGCCTTTGTACATCATCTTTTTCTTATGACACTGTTCACAGCATTCATAGCTCAAGAATTCAAGGCCTCCTAAGTATGCCAGGTATCATTTTCACAAGCAAAGCACACAAGAAACAAGCACCTTCAAGTTGAAGTTGAATAGATGAGGGCAAAAAGAGCAAGCAATGGCAAATACTTATGGGGATATTTTCCCTCCTTCAGAAGGGGAAAGGACCCACTACCCCAAGAACCTTGAGATGTACATACATCATGACAGGTCTGCTAATACTTTTGCAATATGAGACAATATGCAAAATATAAAATGGGCTTACTAGCTTAGTGCTTTTTATTTCCTTCTTCTTCCCCTCCCCCCCTGCAATGATTGAAGTTTAGAGGAGATGGAATATCTAGAAAAAAAGAAATGAACCAGCCACCTTCTGATTAAGATTAGAAAAAGTGGAATGAAAAAAATAAAGCGATGGAAGAGTCCACACTCATCTCCAGTTTGACTTTTTTCAAAGCTAGTAGAAATTAATTCTGTTTATGAGGATCTGCTCATGTGCCTGTTGCAAAGTGAGATTCTCACCTGCAAAGGCTTTTCTGTATGTCTAAATGCATATTAACTACTTTGTGTGCTTGAACAGGAATGCCCTCAATGTGCACCAGCCTTTGCCAGACTCTGCCTTGTTGACAAGGATAAACACAAGGAGACACAGAAATTTCCAATTTTGTTCACAGGCAAGTTTCAAAGCTTGCAAAAGTAAATGAAAACCTTCTAGTAGTTTTGTAACAGGTTCTTTTTGAGGTGAAAATACACCATATTAATTATTTTCAGCAGAATTAATTAATTAATTAATAATTATCTTCAGCAGAAATAATTAATTAATTAATCCATTCCAGCAGAAATGGATTTTTGGTGCCATCCAATCAGAGCTATGACACCAGCAGCCCTTCTGCAGAAGAGTGACAGCTGAGTCACTAATGCTAAAACAGGGATAAGAAAAGGAAAATGAAAAAGAAACTAGGCTACTTCCCCCGAGGAGCCAAATACAGTATTTAATGGCATATTTTTATAAGGTTAACAAATCAAATGCTTCAGCTGTGAATTGTTGCCATCATCATAACTACAACAGGATGACCCCACACACCCTATCTCCATGTAGGTTTTTTCCTCCCGTGACGCATAAATAAGGAGGAAGAGGCCGGGAGCAGCCTGGCCTTTCACCATACTCTGGTCTTTGGGGAGACAGGTTGTGATAGCCACACAGGGATTCGGCAAGACAAACAGGAGGGAGCAGCTGGGTCCTTGTCTTTTCCTGCATCTGCAGCAGCTGCCATCTTCATCAGCTGCTGCCCCTGTGGCATTCTGCCTGCACAAGCTAGAGCAGGCAGCACTTGGGTTCCTGTTGTTTAACTCACACTGAAGAGTTGTGTCCCCTCCCTGTCCCACTGCCCTTAAATGAGTGTGTCAAAAGCAATTAAAGTCAGCATGGCGAGAAACCTTGAGGCTCTGTGTACAGAGGAGCATCTTTTTACCAACACCGCAGAAATGTTGGGTACTTTGTTACAAGCTATATTTTAGTAAAGTAGCTAAGAAATATATGCATTCTCTAGAAAATACCACTTCAGCAGAAAAGTAAGGACAGAAGCCGATTCTACACAAAATCTACACAAAATCATCTGACAAGGCCTTTTGTATTAGAAGACCCTATATACAGTCGTAAAGTTTTAGAGCACAACGGGATGAAATTTTTGCTTGCTTATCCAACATCATGTTTGCCAGCAATAGCCCTGGATCAGGGTTGCACCAGCAGAGCTGCTTTTGCACCTTCAGGCCCCAACAAATGGTTCCCACTGCGAGAGCCAACAATGTAATCACAAATGCAATATGATCACTGGGTGGTTCAGAACGCTGCCTCCTGATCTGATAGCCAAACATGGGAGTGCACAAGATACTGGCATGCAGGGAACTGGGCCACCTGGGCAGATAATTCCTGGCAAGATCATGCGCTAGCCTTCCTTCTTGAGGGCAATGCCAGGGAGTGCAACGTTGGACACTGGTGGCACTGCATTTAGATAGTCTTTTAAACACTTTTTTTGAGTCCTAGAGTTTAGCCAAACCCAGCCATGCTTGCCAAACACACAAAATTTCTATTTAATTAATCCCATGCATGTCTTCAGCAGACTCCCTGTTGAGCTGGCTTAAAGCACTCCATCCACGCCTTATCACAAACTCTGACCATGTTTTCATGACTACTTTAAGCATAATTCAAGCATGATGCCAAATAGCAAATAAGTTGCTGTTCGTGCAAAATGTCTGGCTGACCTCTGTAGGACTCTTCACATGAAAAAGTTTGCAGGATTAGAACCAAAGCCTGGAAGCAGGGTCATCTCTTCCCTCTGCCCACACACCCTCTCCCTTGGCTGCAATATCCAGTACATGCTGTCCTCTTCATTACTTCAACACAGTCCTTAAAGCCTTAGATCTCAATGAAGAAAATGAGCAAGCTCTGTGATTCAGGATATTTAAAAGTGGAAAAAAAGGGCAACTGTTAGGCAGAATCTGCTAGGAGGAGGAGAAGTAATCGGCAGAGTGCCAGGAAACAAGAGTCCATAGTCTTCAAATTTCAAAGGTTTTCAGGATAGATGAACTCAAGATACTTTCACAAGCTAGTTTGAACAAGTCACAGTTTGGTAGTCTGCTGGTTCTTTCTCCTCCTTTTTTCCACCTGGATAACTTTGGATTTTTTCACTTGGTGAAAGACGAAGTAACTTTAATAACTTCAAATAACTTTACTCCCCCGTGGCACTTACATGTCAATTAGCTCTGGATTGCTGCTATATACAGGGACAGTGTACATGCCTGGGAAAGCATCCCTGGGAATTGTGACACCATAAAATACCTCGGTGTTTCAACCCTACCCCATCATTCTGGTACACCAGTCAGTGAACACAGAGTGCTTTCTTCTGCCGTGCCCCTCTCTGTCCCCCACTCCATCCACGGAATTAGGACATTGCTGGAACTCAGCACAATGCTATTTGCAGCCATGCATGTTTGAAATAAAACATGAAGTCCAGGATTGTACCTCAGGCTGCCTGAGATTCAGCACCCTTCTGCTGCCCAAAACCACAAAGACAGTGTTTGCATGTTTAGATAACAATTATAGCAAAATGAAGACTAAAGCTGCAAGCAATCCTTTTTAAATGCAGACAGGGCAGGGAGTGACTGCCGAGACACATTGGCACTAACCAGAGGGAGCCTTATGAACATTTGACTTGTTTTACTCCCAGGTTTCCCCCCCTGAGTCCCAGGCACATGGAAGTCATCTGGGGACACTGCTGGGTTTATTATCAAAGAACTCCTGGACGCCCATGTGTCAAATGACAATGAGCTCTGCTCTTCTGGTGAGGTATTTTTAACTTCAGCAAGTACCTTGAGAAAAGCTGGGGGATGAGTCCCATGAGACAAGTTTTCAGGGAAGCTAATAAGAAAAATGTCTGGGAAATGTCATGGTGTCATGCCATTGTCCTGTTAGATGGATATTTGGACATTGTCACACACACTGCAGCAAGGTTTCCACCCCACAGCCCAAGCACTGCAATACAGGCACTTAATGGGTTAAATCACATCAGTCCTCCAGATTTGCAGTGGTTGATAGAAACAGGGTTGATTCTTCTTCAGAGAACAGGAAAAATCCCAAGCATCCTACAGGATATGATCCACGTTTCTCCATGACTGTCCCAACACATAAGGGTAAAATGAAAAGCCTGGAACAGACGTCAGCAGCTCCCAGAGGCCTGACAAGCACTGGGAAGGAGAGCTTTCCAGCATCAAGAAAAGGCTGGGAGTATCACCTTCCCCTGGGTACATAGCAACAGTTGCTAGTTTTGGCAGGCAGCGAGATGCAGTGCAAGACGTGAGGGTGACATCATTTGATTATCACCTCGCTTCCCTCGGATTCAATTGGATTCCAATAAGAAATTATTTTTAGAATCGCTACAGACAAAAGCCTTTAAAACTAATTTATTACAGATTTGGGTAGAGGAGGCTGGGGACTATATTAATAGCAGACAAAGCCTTAAAAAGGCCCAAGTATTTGGAAACCAAAACCACAGCAGGAATAGCATGTACATATTAACAGCAAAGGTAATTAACCTTCTGAAAAACACACTTGAAGATGGGGTGGATTCTCCATTGCCTTAAGTTTTTGCATTTAAGGCTGGATATTCTTCCAAAAGGCTGGATGAAGCTGAAACTGAATTTGGGATTTGTTGTTGAAAGATCTGATGGGAGCTCTGATACTTTTACTCAGAAGTCCTGCCCTTAAAAAAAAACTAAAAGCCTGCCTGTTGCCCATGCTTGGGAAGTTAAGTTCCAGTTTGCTGAAACAGGCATTTGCAGTTTCAGAGAAAGTTAAGAATTACTAGAAGATATAATGGCATATGATGTTAACTCTCCAGAGGAAAAAAAATAAAAAATAAAAGCTCTCCAAAATGTTAAGCCTGAGGTCCATTGCTTTTGCCCTGAACATAAGAAATTAACAACATAATTTCCTGTTATTCCATGACACTGAGAGCTTGAAAGTAATTGATCTTGCCTCCAATTTCAAGTTAGCCAAGGTGTTTGTTTAGGAGAAGAGGCTCACATGACAGGCTGGAGCTACTGAAGAACACCTTTCCCTGAAGTGGTAGCAGCTCTCTGGAAAAAAATAACTACAGGGATCCCCAGGCAGTTGTGGAATTGTCAGCAGCAGTCCACTGCTTGGTGGTGCACAGCACTTCTTCATTATGTTTATGCAACTACAGGTATTAGTATTTACAAGCAAGCAGCTTCTTTTTACATCCCTTACTTTGAATATTTGATATCCTGTATGAACTCTAATGGACTGTTATACTGTCTTCTGGTTTTTAGCTTGTCATTTAGTATGCTTGTACAGTGACAGACTAACAAACTAATGAGTGATGTGAGGAAACATGTAGTATGCCACAACAACTTGTTTTGTAAAATAACAGGGCAGAGCCTTCTCTGCTTTTATAGCAAGGATACAGTCTCTGCTCTGCTTGCCCCTAACAACAATAAGAAAAAGTCTTTTAAGCAAGAAAGAAGGAAAACCAAAAAGCAGAACAGAAACGAAACTGCACTGTCAGGTTTTCACTCTGTCAGAACCCTTGTAATCAAACCCAGGAAGGCTACCCAGTGAAGGGCCCTGGGCTATCACATCATCCCCACCGCAAAACTTCTGACTGACGTAAGCAATTGACTTGTCTGCTAATTTGATTTCTACAACTCACTGCATCAGGACGTGACTGATAAGCGCTGACTAGGAATTCCCAGAGATAGGCATTTTGCAGAGCCTTGCACGCTGTACAGTCTGGCCGACTCCACCCATTTCTTTCTGCACATGCCACTGTCACCCACAAATCTGAGGCAGACACACACGACTCTATCAGCAGGACCATATGTGTCTGCAGAGATAGCAAAAGCCAGAGACTGCCATAATTTAGCCAAATAAACAACTTCACATACAAGATATGACATGTGGCAGAAGAGATCCAGGAAAGGACACAGTTTAAGCCTCCTAAATTCAGAGGCTTTATGATTCAAGTAAGAGAGTAGAGGCAAGAGGCAACCCAATAGATACAGATTTCTCTGCAACACCAATTTCTATTAGGGACAAGTCAAGGAGGACAAACCATAACCAAAGCAGAAGATACAGACTTCTTCAAAACTGATGCTTCTAAATTGAGGATTTTTTGTGTGCCTGAAAGGCCTTGGATAAATATTTGGGTAAGAATTCGGAAATGGATAGGAAAATCAGACCAGCATGTAACAGGAGTAATGTGAAAATATTTGGTGGGACAAAGTGGGCTATAAATGATGATCCATCTGGCCCATAGAGATTTATGAGAGACTGTCTGCTAGTGAGGCTAGTGAGGCCAAGATCTCCTTTTTCTGGAGTGTGATCGGAGAGGAAGCACAGGGGCAAAGACTGAGACTCTTGTTCACTGGAAAAGTATATTTTTAAAAACCCTCAGAGAATGCAGGAGGGACTTCAAAGTAGACTGCAAAAGCTCAGGCCTCCTGGAGCTACATGCCTTAAGCTGAAGGCTGTGCAGGTATGTGTTGCCATAACTGCCTCAAACAAAAGATGCAGCACTGCTGCAGGAGGGCTGGGAAGTGCCTGACCTTATCTGCCCAAGTCTCATTGCACTCTCCTTCTCAAGGGCCAGCAAGGATTTACTGCTTCCCCTGGGGTATGCAGGGGTCATAGAATCACAGAATCCTTAAGGCTGAAAAAGACCTAAGATCATCAAGTCCAACCACTAACCTAAACCCAGTGTGTTCAGCACTAAACAAAGTCCCTAAGTGCCACATCCACACATTTTTAAAATGCTTCCAGGGGTGGTGATTCCACCACTTTCCTGGGCAGCCTAACCAACCTTTCAGTGAACAAGAAGGGTCAGTGTACAACAGAGCATCAAGCTGTAACAGACATTCTCCAGTGTGGCTGCATCCTTTATCCCTGTCCAAAAGTGACCACTGAGGCTCTGTGACCACAGCTCTGAGGGGTGGCACTCAGAGACCTCGAGTCCTGTTGCCTCATGACAGTGACCCCATGAAACAGCTTTCTCAAATCAAGATATGATTTACTAGTAACAGAAGGTAGGCAGTGTAATGCTTTCTAAAACTGACTCAAAAGACGGTATTTGTCTCTCCTAGCTTGGTCCCATGCCAATACATGTTCCAGGAGCTGCTGAGAAGGAGAAGCTGAGATTCCTGCAACCTTACAGGCACGGTGTCTGATCCTGATGAATGGCTCTCGAACAACCACTTACTTTCTGCCTGAAGAGTTTTTTTAAAGTCTTGGCAGTTCCTTTGACCTGCTCCTCCTTAACACTGACAAAAAAAAACCCTAAACTGAGGAGGTAGTATCTTCCCAGCTTCCACATTGTATCTTAATCCCTCCTGAGGCATCTTCCTAGTTATTTTACCAGCAGCTGCTGTCCTGTCTGCCTGGTTGCTCTTAAAACTACTTTGATACCAAACCAACAATACACACATCCCTGAAGCAACCATCCCAGTACTGGGGCATACATCCTCTCCATCCTCAGCTGGAGATGCATGCCATGCCATGCTGGGCATAGAGGGCAAGGAAGAGAGGGAAAAACCCCACGGCACACCTTTAGGCATTCTGAATGTCCAAGCTGAGAGTAGAGGCTAGTGAGGGACCTGACACTTGAGGCTTCTTTCAGAGGTCCCAAGATCAGAACTGCCCTGCTGCTCATATGAGGCACAGAGACATCTGAGGTTGGACCATAGTGATTTTCTCCTCTTCTCTCTTCCTGAAGATATTTTTTGAGTTTCTCCCTTTTCATTGCTGGGACTACAAAGTCTGTACAAGCTGTTCTCACCCTTGCATACCCAGAGAAATAAACCAAATCATAATAATAGCATATGAAAAAGCAGAAATTTATCTCAAGATCATGGTATTTCTATTAAGGCAACTGGAGGCAAACACTTATGACCCAAATGATGGGGAAGGCAGGCAGGAAGAAAGATATGAGAAAAGGAATTAGTAATAGAAACAACATGATAATTCATCTCTACCAACAAAAAGGTTCTTGCCCTTCTCAAATAAATGACTTGTAACAAACCATAAAGGTTTGTCTAACAGTAAAACAGACAAAACACAATATCTAATTTCAGCCTCAGAGAATAAATTATTTAATCCTTCATTTTTTAAATTTATTTTAATTCTAAAAAAGATCACTAGCTCCTCACTCTGGCGCTTCCACAACAATTTAGCAAGCATCAAATGACAAGATAAGAAACTGATAAATCTCAGTCCAAAGGAGGATTCTGTCTACCCTGACTCAGAGGAGAAACTTTCCTGTTCAGCTCCCTCTTGAGAAAAGCTGGCATAAATAAATACAGTGCTTTTCCTACCTTCCTCATTTAGGAACAAAACACCATCACCAGCATGTGATACAGCCTCAAGACCACAGCTTTCTAGAAAGAAAGGTCAAGTGAAACAGTTCTTCCTAAACAGCTTGCCTGACTGCAGAAACAGGATCACACCAAGCAATGAGCAGCAGGACAAGTGCCTTAAATCACACATCACAGGTGCTTCTCCATCCTCCATGATGCCAGCGTGGACTGCAAAGGAGTGGGGAGGTGGGGAGGAAATACAGGGACACTGTCACAGTTTTCACACTGACCACACTTTTGCCTGACAGATCCTGGAAAAGGCAAGGCCACCTGGCTACCAGCAACAGCCAGGCGTTGGACCAGGCCAACAGAAGCCCTCTATCTCCATTCCACTGAGGTGGAGGCATGACCAGGTAGAAGAGAAGGCAGGAAGCAGTGACCAGCTGGAAAACTACCATGAAAAAAACCCCAAGGACTACTACAAAAACATGAAAACCCAGGGAAAAAAAATCAATAAAATACTGTAATATATTACCTTTATGTGAATGACTCTTCACGCTCGCCTAGACTGAGTCACTCTGGGAACTGCCTCGCGGTCCATCTGGCTGCCAACTCCTGGCTAAACCTGAACATCCTGTGACTGAAATGAATGCATCAAAGGCTAAGGCGCCGCAAGGTAACAAGGTTCTCTTTGTCCAGCACTTCCAGATGCACCAGCATTCCCCTTCTGCTAACTCTCACACATCCTCTGGGTCTGTGTTTGGTGTATTTTTGACTTTCAGAGGCTGCAAAGAAAGGGTAGACTTGAACTTTGCCTCTCACTCTAACTTCGTGGACCTCCTCAATCCATCTCTGGCCATGTATCAGTGATAGTATAGTTCTGGATACAATTTACTGGATACAATTACTAACTGGAAAATAGTTTGCAATTTTTCCTTGCTCTGGACATAAAATTTTGCTACCACTTATGTCAACAGCTTTCAAATACTGGAGAATGCAGTTGTTGCAGATGAATGCAGGCATAGAAACCCCTCTGACAGGATCATACAGAAAGTGAGACTGCACTGCTGGATACTGCACTTCCACAGATTTTCAACCCACTTACAGTTGAAGAGGAAGGGGGAAGGAAAAAAAAAAATATAAAAAAAGTACTCCTTACATTCCCAGCTTTCCTCCCCAAATCAGAAACACTGCTATCTCCTAGGTGGCAATATAAACTTAAATAATCTTTCCTGCCCTCACTAAAACTATTTTTAAACCAGTAGTGAGGCACAAAACAAATGTCCCAGCAGTCAGGTACCAAACAAATGTCCCAGCTAATGCAATGTGTATTACTCAGTGATGATAAACACTATACACCCACCTAGACTTTTCACTTGATGTGGTTGGAAACTGCTATGTAAGGTGGAAAAAGTAAGGCAGGCTGCTTTATTTTTGGCATTTACTTTAGAGTTTAGGCTTACTGCAAGAGTACATTTACTCTGGCTCTGTGTGCTGCTTCCAGCCAACTGTGTAAAGCTATTTAGTGGCTAGTTCTTTGTCCAGAAGAAAGAGGTATCACCCCCCACCTCCCTTGTGTCTCCTACTCCACCACACTACCAGACTGCAAGAAGGGAGCGCACTGGGAGGGACCTTCTCCTTCTCGTCTGACAGAGCAGAGCTCAGCAAGGTAAAGCTCTGTCTAGCCAACAAAGCTCTTTACCACGAATATCCTTATTAAACACAGCCTTATCAGAGTCCAGTTTCTGCAGTCTGAAGCAGTCAGGAATTAACTCTGTCAATATAAAATTTCAAGCCAGGATTAGAGCCCAGACCCAAGGGGATGTGATCAAGCGTTCAAGCCACAACAGAGTCACCTGACTCTGCTCACACCATGTCAGGGGGCTGCCCAAGGGGCCAGGGCTCATACTGTGCACCCACCACCCTGGGGCTACCCCAGCCCCCTGAAGGGCTCACTCCCCAGGCTGCTGCAGCAGGAGAAGGGGGATGCTAAAACTTGTCTGTCTAGCAGGATGGAAGGGAAATGCTCTGCCAGCACTTCCAAAAGAGGACAGGTTGAGGGAAGACCCTGGTACAGCAACATCACCTGTGTGCAGAGGGCATGAAAAGCCAGCCTGGAAGAGGCAGACAGCACTTCACAAGTTAGCCCAGGACTGTCAGCATGGGAGGTTCACCAGCACCTCCCAAAAGCATGCCACCACCCAGCAAGGTGCATGGCCAAGATACAGACTCATTCAGTATGCTCCTTTGTCAGCCTCTGGCTCTAATCCCCACCCACAGGATCAGACTGTGTCTCCTGCCTTATCCACAAGACAAAGCTGTCTATCCTGACACAGCCCTCAGGGCTGTGGGACCAGTGCTGCCTCTGCCTTTGCTCCAGGGTGGGCCTCCTCCGCTGGCACGGCACAGCACGGCACGGCCGCCTGCCCGGCCTGCAGAAGGTGTGAGCTTTGCCCCACAACTCCATGAGTCAAGGCCTTAAGGGTGACCTTGCTTCTCCTGCTACATATTGAAAGCTGGCAATGCTATTGATGGACTCTGTGAAACATGTTTGTAATACCGAGCTAATAAGGCAGCAGTGAGGCTATTGTGCCCTGTCATTAGCAATCCCAGTGAAAGAGCCTTCATGCTGCCCTTCCCTATAAAATCCTTGTCCACCTCCCAGTAAGGCAGAAGTGCATTTCAGTGCATGCCTAAACTACAGTCATTTTTAAACTCTTTCCCTGAGCTTATTTTACAGCAGTTACTAAATGGTTAAGCTCATTACTGAGTCCAAATATGAACATGGGGAAAATAATTCCATCGCTTTTGGCACAGAGTAAGTGCAAAAGTTGCCTTTCTGCTTGACTAAAAGCCTGAAAAGCAAACAATGCACACAGCATACATTGTTCAAGAAGGGAGTGCAAACAAGCCTAAAAGCAGATTAACTTTGAAGGTGTGCAGGAGTAAAGCAGGCAGCACCTACTGTTCCCAGCCCAGCACCCCAGGCAGCGGGTGCAGAACGCAGCACCAGCTGGGATCCTGACCATTAATCTCATCAGCACTGGGAAACCTGAAGTTGCACTTCAGAAAACAAGCAGCTATTAAAAGAAATTAAAAATATTAAAAAAAAAAAAATAGGTACAGTCGTAAGAGCTTTAACAAGACAAGGCCTTCACCCCCAAAGAGCAAAAGAGCACACGCTCCTTATTTTAAGACTTATTCATCCTTTTCTAAACAAAATGAAGAAGCTTTCAGCGAGCCAAAACCTGTGGGGAGATTTTCAGTAACCAGAGTATATGCTTTGATTCCTACTCAAGTCAGCAGAGATCAGGTGCCTAACCCATCTGCACCTCTGAAATCCCCTCAGTAACAGCTTAATGCCACAAAAGGGAGAAGCAAATGAGTTTTGTCTATAGGCTGCTTCTCAAACAAAGACTACAAATTGCATGTGACGTAGTGCTGCACAAGTTTGACTGTATGTGTCTGTGTGCAAGTGGAAGGGCTAATGGAGAACTATGCCAGCTTCAGAAGGGAATATTGCTGTCACTAATTTTTAATAAAAAATACAATTTTATAAATATAACATCCCAGAGATTCTGTTCACCCTATTATGCAAGACCATTGATTTGAGCAACCTGCAATTTGGAAGCAGCATGTGCCACTGCCTGCCCATGGCCATAGACCCCATGAGCCACACAGCTCAACCACCAGAACTGGACTTGACAGCCACAAAGCACCAACAAGACTTCCAGCCTACTGTCCTAAGAGCTAACCCAGTCAAGCCCAAATCTTCCTCCTTTTCTTTAAAGGCATTTACCTCCATGGCCCATTGCATCTGTTTAGAGCAGCACAGTAACTCCATGGCCACAGCTGTGAAACAGACCTGCTGCCCAGACCTGCCCCCCTGGATTTTCTGGAGATGATTAGGTGGTTGCATGAGTGCATCGTTTTCCACCCTCAGCAGCTCCTTTGTCAGCTGCCTGCCTGCACACAGGCTCATATTGGGTGGCACTGCTCCAAACAGGGTTCTCAGAATCCACTTGTCTCTTTTTTTTATTCTTCTTTATTTCTCTCTGTGCTCTGCATCGTGCCTCAGTGAGCATGAGACCACCTTGGGAATTCACAGCCATGGCTTCAGATGAAATCAACCAAGCACTGCAAATTCAAGTTTGTTTGTTTTTTTTTTTTTTTTAAGTTTTGGTTCATCTTCAAAAGCAGAGAAAGGGCACAATTCAAAATTTAGATTTAATCTTCCTATATGGAATGTCTGGACTCAGGTAGGGAGCCAAGTCAGGCACCTATGAATTCAAGTTCTCACCTGGACCTGCTAGCTTCCAAAAGGTTCTTCTGCTTGTCATATCACAACACAGCAATTGAACCATCATCCCCCTCACCCCACCCTTTATCTTCTGCAAATCTCCCTGGGTGATAAACAGTGAAGTTTGTAAACACACTGGCATTTTGATGTGGATTTTCAGTTCAAAAATATTAAAAGTGACATGCATTTGGCAGTACTGGAGAAATCATATGCAGAAGGTTCCATCCTCACACCGAGCACCTGGGGAGAAACATCCAACAAGATGTTGGGTGTGCTAATGCGAAATCAGTTTGTAAGGGAATAAGTTTGTAAGGGCCAGCACCTCCCTCAGTTGTTAGCATTTAAAAGAAGCCATGGCTTTCAGAGGGACCCAAGACAGACTCATAGAATTTCAATTAGTTCTTCTAAATCAAGCTTCTTCTAAAATCAAATCCAGTGCTTACACCTATAATCATACCTAGGTTTTGAAATACCTTTCTCCTTTTGTGTATGTGCAAGTCTTTATTCGGGAAAATCTTTTATGTGGATGGTTAACTACAATACTTAAGTATTTCTTGAAGTAAACACAACTTAAGCTCATTTAGATTTAAGTAGGTACTTGCCTGCTTGCTTTTCTGAAGGCAGATGAACTTAATTACATATGTACCTATTCTTCTAAACAAGGGCCCTTCGGACATTTAGGATTACTTTTTGCAGGGTTTCTTTTTTTAATCAAGATGTTCACACCTCACTACAGAGTTTATAACCTCAGTTATATTTATATCCTTATAATATTCTCAGACTGGGATACGTGAGTACAGAATATACTTACTTACTTGGAATACATTAATTTTCATCTGAAGAAAACCATTTACATATACCCAGTTTCACTACAAATTTAGGCAGTATATGATTAGCACTAATTCCTGGATATGCTGTTTTACTGTGCAACACATTGATCTTCTAAAACCTTGAATTGTAATGTTTAATAATCTGTTCCTAAACAGGGGTCTAAACTTGGCTTCTCCGCATGTTTTGCCATACTGTATTTGACTTGTTAATTATCAGCCCAAAAGCAGCACTCAAAGGAAAGTAAAACGTAAAGATCCATGTTAATATAGGCATATTTAGATTCATCTCGTTAGAAATCAGTAATGCTAGCTTTTACATTCTAAGTAATGTTTAGATGAAAAATAGGCACTAAGTACTTTCCATTGACATGTGTAGACAGTACCTATATAAGATTTAAAAAAAAAAAGGCACAAGCACAGCAGACATTGAATGACCACTCTCATACACATCTGTGTCTAACTTCTCAGGAACTTGTACCTTGAACTCATACAAGCACGCCACTTGTCCAGAGGATTGTTGGGAGAGCCCAGGACAGATCAAGGCAGGGTCAGTGACTAAGGTCAGCTCACTGGCTGTAACACACTTCATTAAAAGTGCAGCTGTACCAGAGTGGAGGTTTAATGCAGAAAAGGAAGTGGCTCTGCCCTTCTGCACATCTGCAATGCAATGCACTATTAAGCAAAATTAACTGATTATGTAGCAAACATGGCAAAATGAAGCCCTGACTCCTCTGACAGTGCTATCTCCTTTATAATGAGGCACAGAACAATCTGTTACCAGGGTTAGTGCTGCAGACAGTGTTTATGGTAATGGGTCCCAGCTCATCAATTTTTTTTATAGTTCAGTAGGTACTGCAGATGCCAGAGGTACCATACATTAACTGCTGAGCCTACAGGGGCACAATGTTTGGCCATGTCACTGGATATTAACAAACTTGTACAAAGGGCCTCCAACAGTTTAATATGTTTAATGACATCTATTCTACTCATCCCAATCTGTTTCTCCAGCTTGCCTCACTAACACTCAGTCCAATGCATTCACACCTGTATGGCTCATCCTCCTCCATTACCTGGAATTTTCCTTGCCTCGAGTATATTCTGCTGGCCATGCCTAACTTAACAGGCTTTTGTAAGTCAAGGAGCAGCTGAAGAACTTTGCTAGGAAACCCTACAGGCAACTGCAGAATCAGCTGAACTATGCACAAAATAGGTCACTTCTGCATTATCAAATGCATTTAGTGCAATTACAATCATCAGAGAAATGAAAAAATACAGTAAAGAACAGAGAAGGAAGGCAGGTCATCAACAGCAAGTGTGAAGTCCTGTTTCTTCACAAGAGAATGCCATCATCAGGTCACCCTCTATGGTAAAAGAACAGAGACAGTTTAAATTGGACACAGTTTTTATTGCATAATTAAAGGCTGCAAGAAGGCATATTTAGGTTTTTCAGTACTGTGATGAACATCAGAAGCAAGAGTGTGGAATAAAGCATTAAAAATCTGTAACAGCAGTCTCTGGAAAGGAACCAGATAGGAGCTGCTACCTGTGAAAGAAGCCTTTCCACAAAGCCTCCTCATCACTTGAGACTTCTCAGAGGATCACGTTGCAAAGGGGAAGAATGCACTTTGCAGGGCTTTTAGCCCATGAGATAGAGTAAGAAGTAGTTTTCAATTCCCAGTTCTTCAGAGGCCACACATCTCTGAAAGACTGTCTACCGAATTTTCTCCCCAGTGACCATCAACACCAGCTCTTCTGCCTGGATATCCTGCTTAAAATTCACATCCTGCTTAAAATTTGCACCCAACTAACTCTAATGAACAGCTCTCACTAAAGTGAGGCTGTTCCCCTAAGGAGTCAGAAAGTCTTGTATTTAATGTACCCTGACATGTGAATGTCCTGCATTAACGGAGCAGGTTGACACAGGACATGAAGATGACAAGTGCTTTAGTGAGGATCCCTTCTGCAAAAAACTGTCCACAGGCTGCACTTCTTTTCATTGCAGACAGAATCACCTGCAATCCATTACAGCCTTGGGTGTTTTCATTATTTGAAATCACAAATGTAATTTAGCACCTTTAAAAGTAGTAAGGGAAGTTGGGATTCAAACCATTTTGACTGGTATAGTGTGCCATGATGAGTACAACTCTTGGTGTGTAGTAGGCAGACTGATAGGAAAGCATCACAAGATAGGGGGCATTCCATGTCACCCAAATTTTTTCATGTCAATCATCAAATAATTTCGTGGCAGTCAAAATCACTCTCCTCTCTGTTCTTAGGGCACACTTCCAGACAGGCCATAAGCATTTGTCAGGTGAAGTACTGAAGACACCCATTTTGCTTGCTGCATGGTTTCTTGTGCAAGGTGAATGCTTTCATCACCTAAACACACACATTTCATAAATGAAAAAAAAAAAAAAAACTAAAGTGAAAATAAAACAATTCTGATTGCTTGGTTGCTCTCCATACTTCACTTGAGAAATACAGATTGAAAGATTACATACAAGAGAGCACTGATGCAGAGGGATTGTGACACCACAAACCATAATGAGACTAAATCCTCCATCTCCTCCTAATCCCTCTGAGAATGCAGGATATTTACTTCTATTATCACCACTGCTCCACTTCCCAGCCCTGACTGCTGGTTACTGTAGTACAGTATGTACTCAGAGTTGCTGAGTCAAAGAAAAAATAGCCCAAGTAATTAGAAAACAAGCAAACAAAAATAGACTTTTCCTTCTGTCCCTCCCTTCCTCCTTAAATAAAGCAACATCACAGACTGTGAATCACATTGTGGCCATCATATGACCATATCAAAAGCCTGTATTTGTTATTTCTTTTGCTGTGTTCGCAGACAAGATAAAAATGTTTTACTGAGAGCTAATCATCATAAAGTACCCACTGAGACAATCATTTATCTTTGCATGCAAGGGATCTCAAGATCTAGATTGCTGTTTACAGACTACAGATTTTTTGGAGGAGGGAATATTAACTAGGGAGAAGTCATGTCATATGTTTGATCCTAATATTTGGTGCTTTGGAGCAGCATGGTTGTGTGGGACTTGTTCAGTTTTAAAACGTACCTACTGATACTGAAAGTAAATGTCTTTTTACATGAAAATCAACAAATACATTTTATTGTGTATATATTATGTAACATACTCTCTCTCTTTGTGCCTCAGTTTGGACCTAACACATAAACTAGACTCCTTAAAAGCTCCACTTGCACTGAAACTTAAAATTAACAATGTGTAAGCATGCCAAGCAGTACATGAACAACCATCACTATTTAAATAACACCCAAAAAACTGGAATCAATTTACAGTAAGTTCTCAAAACCAGCATTTAACACAGCCCTGAAGTCTCTAAGTGACACAAAAATGCCTACTTCCAGGTAGAGCTATGCTGTGGCTGTGTTGAAAGGCATGGGCAGAATGCAAAATGCACTCACTTCAGCTAACCACTGCCACTGTATTTCTCTCTAAAGAAAGCAAATGACAGAATTATCAACTGTAAATGACTTCTGGGTCACAGAAGGAGGTGGAAGGGTTGAAACCTTGAACTACAGCTGCTGATGCCTAGTGTCTTTATCTCCCTGCTCCCTATGGCGTGTAGTTGCTGGTTATCTCAAAGGATGAACGACCTGCCTGCAATGAATTAGGCCTGCTTATCTGCCAGACGGGCTATATACCAAGTCATTAAGTCATCTAAGAGTATAGCCCCAAGGGAATTACCAAATGAATGTGAAATCCTGTCCTGCTTTTAGCCCATGCGACAGACTTCTCCCTCCTTCTGGTGCAGGCACCACAAGGAGCAGGAACGGGGCTTGAACATCTCTCACCTTCTGGTGTGGCTACTTGTTTTATGATATTAACATTTTCTGCTTCAAAGGCTGAAAAGTAAGGTGATGTCAGAATAGTAACAACAGTCATTTCCCTCAGAGGAAGGGAAAACACAGCCTCTCTCTGACCACCAATATTTCCAAACCTCCAATGTAGCAGCTGAGACAAGCAGCCAACATGAGACTAGCAGAGAGCTTACGGCTATCATATTTGTGTTGGGATATAATGGATTTTGTCCAGATGAAAGAGTGCACTTCTTCTGAAGAGCAGACCATTTTTTTAATTAAAAGAAATTGATTTAGTGACAGGATTTACAGTTGGGTATCTGACAAGCCCACTGACCTTCACACACATATACAAACAACTGAGGCTTGATGCATTCAGAGAAACAAATTCTCACTTGAGACCACAAAACATTGACTCCTACAGAACCCAAAGAACCCCCTCTAAAGCAGCGTGTATTAAAGGAGACTTAGGATAAAGATTCATCTGCACAGTGAACCTTTCCAGATAATACTTCATGAAGTCAGAGGGATAAATAGCATCTTTAAATAGAGAGAAAAAAGCATGTCTGACAAAGGCTCACACATGCTTTATTACAGCTTGGCAAAGCTTTAGCTCACCATTTGCCTGGGATGTTGTATTTACTGTCCCTTCTCCCATTGCTCCTTGTACTGAGTAAGTTGTGCAGTAGTTAAATATCTCCTTTCAAGTATTCTCAGTGCCCACACAAAAGAAAGAGGCTCAGCAGCACCCTTAATGAGAAGAGACACACTAGCACCTCCAGACAGCGCTAAACAGTTTGGCACCCAGCCTCTAAAGCTGTTTTCAAGGGGCTGTTGCTCAGGTTTCTTTTTAGTTCCCATTATCTGCAGCCAAGCTGACGAACACCCTAGGAGGTGTTTCCTTGAAAGTGGTGGTGCGACAGCTTCCGTGTTCCACCCTGGCTGAACAGCAACCCAACCTGAGTTTTACTGGGAAGGAAAATAAGCAGGATCTTCCATGAAAGAACGAGCCTGTTGGAATGGAAATCTGCGCCTTCACAAAGGAGCAACAACAATCTCTAACCTTCTGCCTGGTGATGCCTACAAAACTCATGAACAAATTACGCTCAGCACCATTTCGGGATCCCCTTCTAATTTAAAATTATAGATTAAAAATAGTAATTTTTTAAAAGCTTGGTTTTCTTTATCTACAAGCTTTACTGAATGAAACCCTCCCCCACCCCAGCCTCGTCAACCTGATAGGTTTCTCTGGATGTTACAAGTTAAAAAATAAAACCTAATCCTTGCTTGACAAGGCCAGGATATTTATATATTTCCAGGGCAAAACTCAAACTAGGCCCTGTGCTGTGCCAAGAAAAGTCCTGCTAGGACAAGGAGAGAGGAAATTGCTCCTGCTTCCATGTGGACATCAGAAAACATCTGGAAAACAGAAGATGCCACACAGATGGCCAGAGAGCAACCAGACTTCCTTTAGAAAGCTACACACAACACTCCTCATAAAACTTTTTTTTTTTTGGAGGATGGCTCAGGCTTGTTGTTCTTCTGTGTGTT